AGAGGCTCAAATGTTATAACTTTATTTTCACCATTAACAATATTAATGGCGAATACCGTGAATGTGGAATCAACAATAACCCATAATAATTGCTATTTCAAATGTAAAAGGAACATTGACGATATGAAATAACCAAACGTAGACATCAACATTCATTTTTATAATTTCATGAATTAATACATCAAAACATCGCTATTAACAACATCATGAAAATATATTAACAATGATTTTCAAACACTTTTTACCTTGTTCGCCGTGTTTACACATAACAGTCAGCCACTTGGACAAAATTCATCGGTTCCTTAACCATACAACACACTTTTGATTTTGTTCTTTCTCTGTGTTCATCGTGTTACATATTTTCGCGTTTGAGGTTTCCTACCGATTAACCGACGTAATGAAAACTGCCGAAACGCGCGATATTCACTGAATAGACATTAGAATTTGAATGACGAACCGTTAGGCGTGGTAGGAGGCCCAATGACACAGGTTGGCGAAAAAGACACAGGTTAATCGAATTGTTTTCTCGGCGAAAACAAAAGCTAAAGGCGGACCGACAAGTACTTTTTTTCCAATCAAGAAGGTGGGTCGGGCCTTCGAAAAGGCTGGGCCACGATCTCGAAGGGACAGCCGAAATTTTCGAAAGATACAAAAGAGAGCCACGAAAATCTAATATCTCGATCGATAAGGACCGAGCGAATTGTTTATCGGCCGAGAACGACCACTTTTCGAGGAAAACATCGCGACGACAAAAAGATCCACCAATATTTACGAGTGGACTGCGGATTTTTGTACATTTTTATATTTTTACGAACGTAACTAAGGAAATGGAATTTGAATAAAAATTTGTTTCATCCACAAAACGCTCTATTTTGGATATTCCATATATTTTCGCATATGTGTGCATTTCGCACCTCCAAATTTCCCAGAAATGCATGAAAATCCGCAGTCTATTTACGAGAAAACAAAAACCAACGAAAGAGCAATCTCGATGTAGGTTATCGTCGCGAAAAAACGGCAAAGACGTGGAAAAAAACAAAGAAATTGGAACTTCACTGACACAAGAAATTCGAGGGCGAGACCGAAAAATCCACAAACCGGACGATTCACACATAATTTAAATCACTGGTATCCAGCATCGGTGTGGAAAGAGGCGGGACGAGGAATCTCGCGTGCATCGGTACGACTATATTCTGATATAATTGCGAGCACCAGAAGATCCGATGTTTTAGCGAGTTTACCACCACCCTTTCCTCTCTCGTATATACATATTTCTTTTCTCTCTTATATTTCGTTGCCGCCGATCATCATCGCATACAGCTTCGTTATTTTGATTCGCTCGAACCCGAACCTAAACCCGAGGGAGATAGACAACACAACAAGCAGGCACACGGATCAAGAGAGGACAGACCGCGTGTATGTTATATAATGTACCCGCGTACGTGTAGATGCGTGAGAAAGAGTAAGTGAGCGAATAAGTAAGAAAGAAACAGAAGAGAAAGATAGAGAACGAGAGAGGGGGAGTTAGAGAGTGGGGGGGAGGAGAAAGCTAGAGAGAAACAGAGTAAGCGAATTGTGGAGTGGGGGTAATAAAGAGTAAGTGAGTAAGTGAAGCGAAGATAGAGAGAGAAAGAGAGAGAGAGAAGGAGCAGAGTGAGGGAGAGAGGAGGACGCAAAGACGACGATGATTGCACGAGGGATGCGTCCGCGACGGAAGTACGAGGCACACTAAAGGGCGTGGGCAATCGGAGCAAGGCCGGTGTGGAGTTTCTGAGGGGAGGACCACATTGATTTTGATTTTCGAAGCGCGCGCATGAGTCTCACCGTGTTCAGCTCTGCCCATTCATACGTATGGGACGTTGGTCCTTAGCTAGTACAGTAGAACTCCGTATAACGCGATGCTCGTATAACGCGATCAGAAAAATTCCCACCATGTATAAGCTACAGTGGCGGACGAAACTAAGGTTTAAAATTTCATATTTACGTACAACAACTAGACTGACTTTTTTGTAATTTTATATTTTTACGAAAAGGACTAAAGAAATGCAACTTACATAGTAATTTGTATCGCTCGATTGAAAACTACGACGGGTACTTCGCTTTCGATATTTCATACTATACTTTTCATACTATGCGCGTTCTACGCAATTCTGCATTTTCAAATTTTCTATGAACGCATAAAAATCCGCTATGTGCCCGCATATGATAACTAAGCCACGTTAGCCCTTAAACGTTATATAGATGACCAAAATAATTTACATTAGAAATGTAGAATTCTATGCTTCTACAACATTCAAAAGGCATTGCTTCATTACACATTACCAAAGAAAAACTAATTTACGGTTTCAGGCATCGATGGTAGTCTTGTCAACAGCTTAATAAATCTTTCAATTACATAAAAGCATAATCGCAGCCAATTAGCTGGCATTATTTTCTATATATTTCGTAATTGTATAACGTGGCGATGCGATTAGTAATTGTATAACAAATAATAACGATTGCCCGGGCCTTACCACGTGGAGGTTGCTGCACATGGAGATCCACCCTAACCGCGTCCCACCCGGCCCTCTTTTACGCGCAAGAATTCGCTCATTTTTAAACAAATCCTTCGTTTAGAGAAATTATAACAACTACGATCGCATATTGATTTAAAACAGAGACATCCCTTGTCTGTGGCCAAGATTACGTGTATTGTCGCGTACATATCTGTTCATTGTAGTCTTCGTTAATTTTCGAAATTGCAAAACAATAGAGACGGTCGGCGAGACTGAAACAAGTGTGTCGCCATATAGATATACTTCACCGTTATGTGAAACGAAGACAAGACGGCGTTGCTCAACAGCCAAAGAACCCCTATGAGAGATATTACAAAGTGTGCAGAAAGGAATACAACGGGGACAATCGCGAGAATTACTAAGACGAACTGTTCCGAAACTTTATAAAATAGTAATTAATAAGAGAGAGAGAGAGAGAGGGAGGGAGAGCAGATATTTCGAAAAGCAACGTCTGAACTGCGCAGGATAGTTATTATTAGATATCACAGTTGTTAAAAGTACATTTACAGAACCGATGCGACGGTTAAACGATAACACGAAAGAGACGTATTTTTACGTTACCGACGCAAGACGTGCTAATACGTGTTACTCGGTCACTCGAATTATTTTTATAATTAACGGAGCGATACCAATAAAATTTTTCTTTTTTTCACAGGTATCAACATGACGTGTAAAAATGAGACAATTGTTCTGTTGAAAGTCCATTGTAAGATTAAACGGTTATTGTTAGGAACACGAATATAGGAAGTGTCCGAATATTAACGTAATTGTGTTAACATTTACTCTGATGGTAATTTCCCTTTTATTTGCCCGATTATATCGTGAACCCTGACAAAATGACGTCTACGACCACATAGGGTTTTATCAACAGGTGATTCGATAATTACAAATCGATATATTATTACTCGTACGTTCAGAAAATACGGTCGTATAAATACGTCGCAAGTCAAGGTCATCGACTGAGGTACAGTAAACAGAATTACTAATAAAAAAAAGAAAAAAAAAAGAAAAATGAAAGAGGCGGTGCATTCGTTCTTACGGTACGAAACCTTGAATAAACCATTGAATGTAAATAGAGTATCGGCGTAAATATTTGTCAGCTCGGTACATTGCCATTCCACAATCCACAATTGCTATTCTTACAACTCTTTTTAAACCATGAATCTTTCAATACGATTAATTCTGACGCGTTTTCATTATTTTTCTAGCTTTCTCTTTGTACTAACCAACTTTTCATTTTTTCTGGCTTTTATACTTTATTTTATGATAGGAGGAAATCACTTATAGTTTTTTCATTTCTAACTGTTTTATCGACGAAAGGTTTGCTTGTAAGTATACACAGACTCGTGATAGTTGGGATGAGACTCGACTGTCGTTTTTCTGGTAAAGTTTAAAACTAATGTGAAGATGAACGTAGAAATAACGAGATATTTAACAGAATTTTTTAACAGAAGTATTGAAATAATCAATTATATATTATTATTAATATGCCAAATTAATTTTATACTAAAGACTAGTTGCGTGTGCCCGGCGTTTCGATTTGTTGCTATTAAGATTCTTCTATCGAGTACAATCAACATTCGTAAGTTATAATTGCGTGAATGGATAAAATATATAATAACTGTCGAGCTAAGAAACTCAAAACTGTATTACTCCTTCTTTTCTTCCTTCGTTCGTTCCTTTTATCTCATCAAATAATAATTGTCTCTTTAATCTTCGTAGAAATAATTTTTTAAATGTTTATATTTTTCTTCATATCTTTAGCTGCTCAAATTTCATTTTACACATTCGCTTCTCGTTTTATTTTAATCTCCATGATAATTTTTTAATCCATTCAAAAAATACCCAAACTTAAAATAAAAATATTATTCTATAAAATTGTTGAAAATTATTGTTCCACTTCACTTAAGATTGTTCGAGCTTAAGTTAAGAGGGGGTGGGTTTGAAGAGTGGTGGGGGGTGGAAACATCTCCACAGTATCTTTTCTGAGGTGTCGAAGAATATTCATACCAAATTTTGTCAAATTGCGTTGAACGGTATAGAATTCGTTAACATATATGTATACACATTTTGACTTTTATATATACAGTAGTATAGATATATGAATTTGCATACGATGCGTATTGCCTTGATAACTGGCCGCTCACCATCCCCACCGTTCCTCTTGGTTTCCCTCGCCATGAACCACAGTGAACTACTGGCATCTACTGGTAATTCATGCGCCTAGGGACACGACACCTTCCTCCCACAGGAGGACACGGAGAGTCACGAATTCCGGAACATAGCTATGGCGACAACAGCGAAATTCCGCTGGGACAAGACATGGATTCCATGACGGCATTCTCCCAGGGGAGAAAGGTGTCACATCATGAATCTGCGGATTATTGTTAGTTCGCTTGAGCATCAACAGGGGTCTCTTTCGACTTTTCAACTTTTTCTAATCTATACAGTTGGTAGACATGAAATTGTATTTGCCAAAATTTTAATATCGTTCCCTCTATGAACACCATGTACATATTTATAATGAAAACATTTTTCCATATTATACGATACATTTTTTCAACCTGCTTCATTATTTCAGTATGCATTCTGTGTTTCATTATTTCAGAAGAACGGCCAATTTTAGAATTCAACTATTCTGGAAACAAAGCTGCTACAGTTTATATCTTTTCTATTAAGATAATTCAAGCACTAAACATTTAACAACTAAATAATTTTATTACCAGATTTATAAGAATTATCAATTTTAAAATTGAAAAATTCGTACAGTAGAATTATCCTAAATTTTTATTCACAATGTTTTCTTGTCTCATACGCCTAATGCAGGGTCACCAGCTAAACATTTCATTACCGATAATGTAGTCATGATATCATTCAACCATCGATAAATTGAATTCAATAAAGTATACACAATTATTCATTAAAGGCAGAGTGCATGTGACATAGACGTGACAATAGAATTTTGTATCTAAAATTATAAAATACCGATTTCCTAAGGCGAACATACGAATTATCGCAGATAATACGTAAGCCGATAGAATGGACATATACCGGAAAGGACTTGCCTTATCACACGGTATTACATGTCTGATCTATGGACAGCCACGTGTGCTATCTATCCTGACATGTTGCAAATTGCAATTCCTTCTGTTTTCCATAGATGGCAACACATACCTTATCGCACAGTACTGCATTTTTGGTCTATGGACAACCATGTGTTACCATCTATCCTGACATGCTTCAAGTTACGGTTCCTTCTGTCTTCCATAGATAGCAACACATATCTTGTCAGTATGTGACAAGTATTTGTGATGTCGTATACCGACGTCTTACCGACATGATTACTAAGAACTCACATGTGATATAACAAATTAAAAACAAATTATCGACTTTTAGAATTTCACACAGTATAATTAAATCCACATAATAACATATAGAATTGTGTTTATTTGTCCTTTCTTCTTTTTTTGAGGTGTACTTTAGTTTATGTATGCAGGAATTTTTACCTATTAAATACATACATACATATCAGTATAAAATGTGTATATTTTTATTTAACTGATTAACAGATTTATTTAATAAAATATGCAACTTTATACATACTTCTCCACAATTTCTAACATGCTCACTCTTTCAATAAATATATTTGCCACATAATATCTTATTTTTCTTCTTCTTAAATGCTATTTATAAACATTAATAATATGCAATGATCATGTTAATTTCCTAAGAAATAATCTATTTTCGGATTGTCTGTATCAAGTTTTGGCTTTTTAACTTTTGGAATATCCTTAACTTTTTTCATTTTGATAGCAGAAGGTTTAGGGAACTCCTCATATTTTGAATGCCCCCCAAAACCATCAAATGTAATTCTACTATTTTCCTAAATTAATAATATTTACAAATAAAAAAAGTAAGTAGATTGTCAATTTGCAAATTAATATGAGTATTCTTACATTTTTACTGATTCCTTGCTCAAGTCTTGGTTTTTTTGCCAAGATCGAGGAAGTTAATTTTGATGTAGTATATCTCTGAGACATTTGTGTTAAAGCAAATACTCCTCCTGATTTCACTGGAAGATACGGAGAACTTGTTTTATTTTTCTGGAAACAAGTTATTGTTTTTAGGAATTAATAATAAAATCAATCAATAGTATATTGCAAAAATCATAAATTATTTTTGTTACTGTAATAGCAGATTCAATTTTCTCTTCTTGTCCTATATCCTTTTTCTCATTTATGCTATTATTTATACATTCAATTTTATCTTCTCTAGAATCATTTCCTAAATTACCCTCTGTCATATTCTTTGTTTTTGAATAGAGCTTAATTGGCTTTTGTGTCGAAGACATATCTTTTTCTAACTCGCTAAGTCTATTTTGTAAAGACATTTTTTCACTTAGACAAGCCAGATATTCATTTTCAAGTGTTCTATAGATAACATATAACAATACAAATATTTTTAATATTTTAACAAAAATATTTTTTAATTTGTCAACATTTTCTTTATATTATTATAAGAGTTACATACTTCCTTTTAGTATGTTCATCAGACAGGAAATTTCGTTCCATAGAAACCTTAGTAAGTTCTTGTTGTACACTTTTTAGTTTGGACCTTAATTCTCTTCTTTTATTTTGGCTAACTGTTATCTCTCTAAATTATATATGTAACTTTTAAGAAAGAAATATAAATATACAAAATATAATATAAATAAATAATATTTAACTACCTTTTCATCACAGATATGTATGTAATAAGCGTAGTAGGTTCAGTTGTTCTTGAGATCATCTCATCTACAGCTTCTGTAGTACCATCAAGTATGGTTTGTACACTTAAACAAAAGGTATATTCATTAAATAATTTTTGGATACAATAAAATGTTATATATCTTCACATACTTTTTATAATGCTCAATTTTCTTTCGCAATTGCTCTATTTCTTTTCTTCTACTTTCTGCTTCTAAACTTTGTTCTTTAAATAATTTAATTTGTTCTTTAAGAGCATAAATAGCATTACATTTTTCACTTATTTCACTTTCCACTTTTCTTACTTCCTTCTTTAACTCCTTATTCTGTTTCTCTAATGTTTCAATCTTTTCTGAATAATGTTTAATATCTTTTTCTTTTAACACAAGTTGAAAATTTAATTTATCGACTTTATCTTGTAAAGAGCATTTATCCTCCACAATGGTATCGTTATTGGAAAAATTAAAATATAATCTATGAATTTTACTTGATGTAGTCTTTTCTCTACATTGTGGACAGGTTTTGGATCTGCATGAAAAAGCAATTAATATATTTACGAGAACGGTTGAATATTTTTTGAGGTATAGAAAATATAAATATTATTTGATAAAATACGAAGTTAATTTTATACGGAAATGCCATATGTTCATACAACATTTTTAATTAAAAACATTATATGTGCCTACCTCTCCAACCATTGAGTTACACAGATAAAATGAAAAATGTGTCCACAAGGTGTATGAAAAACATCATCAGAAGGTGTTAATAGATCACTGCATATCACACATACAATATTCATTTCGCAAACTTAATACAATTAATATTTAAATAGTATATTACTACATAACAAAGTATCATTGACGTCCTATTTTAATGCTACTATATTATATATTTTTATTTTCTCTATTATTTACTTTATTTGAATATCTCATTTTCAAATTAATTTAACAGATATAAAATTCGATATAAATGTTATAGTATTTAACGTTCAATCTTAGGACATTAAGAATTTGAATTCCTAACCTTAAAAATTAGCATATAAGAACGAAACAAAACACTTTGAGTTAACCGTTATCTGTATAGTGCCATCTACGTGTCGTCCAAAAATTACCAAATATTGTTTCAATGAAAATGCACTTTTATTTTTCTGGAAATTACAATTGTAGGAACTTACGGAACTATGTAAATACTAGCAAAGAGAAAATTTCCTCTTTGATACTAGCTAGTACTAAGTATAAATAGTTATAAATAAAAACAAGTAAAGAAACAAACATTTAAAATTCATTTAATGTATTTTCTGCTTCCTTATACATATATTTTAAAAATATATGGATAATTAAAAACTCTACATGAATTAATTAATATTTGTTGTAGTTAGGTGAATTTTTATTTGCGATCTGGTGTAGTAGATAACTATTTTAATTTTTACAGTAGGTAACTGTTTTATTTGAAGCTTTGTGTGGTAGATTTACTACCACTACTGTAATTATTTATTTGAACGATTGTATATCATTTTATCATTGTGCAATTCCTTATTTATTACGCTCCTCATTTACAAAACATTTTCTATAGACTTAAGATTGATTGATTGCATATATAAAATTTCGTTTACGGGTTTATTTTCAAACTTACTTTATTTTTATACATTTCCTTTTTTGACATCATATATATCAAAAATATATCAAATATATATCTTATCTGCCATTTATTTAAATTGCAATTCTTTCTTCTTGCCTTTATTTGTAAAATAATAATTTCAATGTTAATTATACTCTGACGTATTTTAAACATCCAATTTAAGTTATATTTTATAAAAATGATATTTAACGTTTCATTCTCAATAAAGCGCGGCGCGTGCGTACTACTCCGCCAATCACAATACGTTCACCACGACTTTCCTTCTGCCGATGGACTAACTTGACCCTTTCATCTAAGATGAAACTTGGTACTCCGTCTTTTAATTCCTAGATCCACTACATTTTCAGATCTAGTTTCCTATCTAGAATAATTTGATTACACGTTCATGAAATTTCTAGAAGGGTCCTATATCCCCTCCACTACAAAGTCTACAACCTACAACATTTGTTTCCTTAGTAATTTCGAGTTCCGCGTGGAAGTTTGCGGCTCTCACGTTATTTGTTCGTTCGAAAGAATTTTGGCTTTCATCGTGCTCGGAATCTTTTAAAAAAAATTTAGCTTTTTTACGAAACAATGTATTGAACATTAAAATCAGTTACAGTTGTAAAATTAAATCAAATTATAAATAAATAGAACCCAATTTCTAGTGGAGGTAGGTTTTTTAAAAATTTCGGTAAGGCAAGTATAACTAATGTTACGTAAACTATCAATTATTTTCCTCTTATTGGAAACCTTCAATTGACGAATGTAGATTGTAGGTTATGCTCCATGCATTCATACTTCGTTCAAGCTAACTTTCATTAAACTAAAATTCGACTGTATTTTTCTCAATTCCGTTGTTTCTCTGTTAATTATATCCATATTATATCTTTTTATTTGGTTTATATTGTTTCACTTTGCTTGACAATTTCAAGGTAATGAAAAATTGCATTTGTTGCATTTAGAATAGTGAAAAAGAAGTTAAATTCGTTTTGTCAACGTTTAACATATTTTACTTCAGTATGTGGTAGTTTAATTTTCTTAATAATTCTTAATTCTGTTCATAATTAATACGACTATAATATTTAATTAGGCAATGAAGTTTGTTTTAATATTAATTTTCTATTTATATTAGTTGTAAACTTATATTGTAATACCTGAAATCACTAGTATTAATTTATTCCATTATATTTTAATGTCATTATCAGTTCTTAAGTAGGTTCATAATTGATATAATTACAATATTTGAGTAATGAATAAAATAAAAATATTTTTTTAATAGTTGTCAACCTACATTTTAATTCCTGTAGTCAGTACTAATAATATACCTTATTATATTTCAATGTTCTTAATGACTCTTAAGTTTTTCCTTTTGTAATTGATACAGTTAGAATATTTAAGCAAGGAGTAAAATGAAATTTTTGTTAATATTAGTTGTCATTCCTCAGTTCTCTTACACTGTCTTTTTACTGTAATTGAAAATCTTATTAAATATTATTTATTATAATACAATCAATTTAACTGCATTTGTTAATGTAAAGTAATTAAACACTCATTGATACCTCTTATGAATATTGTACGCATGTTATTTAAATCTTTTGAAATCTTTGTAGTCCGTAAGATATGATTATTAAATAATTATGTTTCATGTTTCAGGAATAACTATTTCTTTTTGTAATTACATTTAGACATTGTTACATTGTGAGCTTCTTGTTTCTAAGAAATGGCTAAGTGGGGTGAAGGAGATCCAAGATGGATCGTTGAAGAAAGGCCTGATGCTACCAATGTAAATAACTGGCACTGGTATGATTAAACTTTTAATGCACTTTGTTTTAAAATTGTATAAATATTAGATTATATATTTTTATACATATAATAAGTTAACAAAAATTTTATCTAACTTAAAGATTGCTTATAAATAATATTATTGTTATGTATCTAAGTGGAACCTAATAATCTTCTTATACTAATTTCATTTTCTAAATATTATTGTATTTGATGTACAATATTACATATTTTTCTTTATATTTTGTTTATTGTTTATATCTATTTGTTTATTATTTATAAAATTTTGTACCAAAGATTGTTTTAAATATATATTACATTTGATCCATGATGTCTTTTTGTTCACTTTTACAATACCTAGCACAGCAGACTTTACTAGTATTTATAAATCATAAAGTTCTTATCATTCGAAAACAATATAATCTGAATAAAGTACAAATTTCTAAATGAAAGATTTATAAAAGATTATGTGCAATTGAAGATTCAAATACTTCATTTTTTTCAATAAATATGGATTTAGTAAGTGAAGTTAAGAGAAAGAATTCTTCTTTGAAGGTATATTCATTTACAAGCGTTTGTATTACATGTGTAATTCTATTCATCTTTTTCAAATGTATCCTAGATTGCAATGTCAAATTTCCTTGATATTAATAATTATATATAGTTTGAGAAATAAGTACTTATAATTATAAAAGAGAAATAACTTATATGAATTACAATTTGTATACAAAATTACATATTAAAATACAATACATATACATATATAAGTACATAAAATACAGAAAGAAATAAAAAACTTATATGAATACAATATACAAAATTTATGGTAATTTCGATTTGTTTAAGGACGGAGAAAAATGCCTGTGCTTGGTCTCAAGAAAAAATAAAAGAATTATTTATTAATATGAAGATGGAAGGAGATAATGGTTTGCAATTTTCTTTTTTGTAATAATAACAAAAGAATAATTTGTATAATAATTTCAAATTTCACATACGATATAAACCTAATGAGTGTAATTTTTAGTTTCCTGTATAGTAAATGAAATAGAAAAGTGTGAAGGTGAGGCAATGGCAAATAATCGAAAAGGTAAATTAATTTTCTTCTATGAATGGAATATTGTATTGAAATGGGTATCCAACAAAAAATCTGATAAGAAGATTGGGGGTAAAATAAACATTCCAAATCTTTCTGAGGAAAATGATATTTCTGAAGTAGATGTAAGTATCTATATAAAAGTATTTAACAAAGAGAGAAAGAAAATATAGTTATATATAACTTTAAATTCATAAATATTTTACTTACTAAAATTAATTACAAGATTTATATTTATATTTCTTGAAGATATATTTTCTATAAATTTAGTTACCAATAAAAATTTTTATAAAAACATTTAAAGGAATAAAAAACATTACTTTCTTTTATAGATTGAAATTACTCTAGAAGATAGCACAGACGAAGGTGAAGCAGTAAAACATTTCCTGCATACGAAAGGAAAAGAATTTATTAGGGAGAAATTGAAGAAATACGTTTCTTCTTTAAAAGAAGGTAACTTTATATTAAAATGAATTTAATAATTTGTAAATGTATTGAATTGTCACTTTGGAAATTATTTTAAATTTTTGAATATAATGCTTTTGGTTACACTAAATTAACTTTCTATTATTTGTTATTAGAATTTGCAGCTGGTATGATTTTACCAAAAAAAGATAATGTGAAAGAAAATATCTTGAATATTACGTCTGGGTTCAATGCAAAAGTAAGTATAGGATTGATTCACGTTGTGCGTGCGTGCTTGCGTGCGTGCGTGCGCGCGCGCGCGTGTGTGTGTGTGTACAAAGGAAAAGAATTTATTAGGGAGAAATTGAATTTATTAGGGAGAAAATTCCAACA